GGCACACACCATCCTCCCGTGGCCACGCCCACAGAAGCCATCTGTGAACAGATTGGTGTGTGATTCTCTTCGGATAACAAGTGACCAGTCAAGGATGAGTAAGTTATCAGTTATAACAGCAATGCGAAGGGAAATTTCCCTTTTTTCAGGATTCCAGCGTGGAACAGTCAGAGCTGTCATTTCAAAAACAAACCCAAAAAACACTTGTGGTAATTAGTTCGAAGCATTCCCGCTTAATATAGGCACTCACTCAATCCTCTCCCATATTACCTGTTCGTGAAACTTACAGCTTAAATCCCTTCCCTATATTAAATTGTTCGTGAAACTTACAGAGCTCAACACGAATGGAATACAAGAATGATAGACAGTTGGATTATTTTGTTCAGTACGCAATACGACTGGGATTTATACAAATAAATTGAAAGCGGGAGATACATGTGGTGCGCTGGCTGCAAGTTGTGCTGGTTGGTCCCGTGTAGAAAATGGGATCACTGTCGCACCACATGCTCCCTTCCTTCTGGACAGGACCCTAAAATTTCTCTAAACTTTTTTAGACGGTAAAGGGAATGGAATCCACCTGAAATGAGTTTTCATGTTGGATGACATTAACGTCTATGAAAAGTTATTAATTAGTTAGTGAGCAGCTAGGAACTAAGCCAAGAAAACGGCTAAGTTCCCTGGAGAAACGACGACTGTTCACGGACCGACGGCCTCCCTCTCCTCCGAGCCTTGATCCTTATGGTTTCACTAAAAGTATGTGGTTTCCATAATTTTACCACGTTGAGCGTTCTAAATAGCCAATAACCCCTCCCCCTTACTGGGATGAGACCCGGTAAAGGTTTTTGTCTCAAAATTCAAAAATGTGAATCATTAACCGTCTAAGGATAGTTTAGTTTTTGAAGCCCTACGCTATCCTCCTTTATAGCGGGAAGAATATCGTTGACGCTATCCTTCCCCGAATGATGAAGTCCCTTTATCCACCTCAAGGCCGTGCCAAAAACCCACCATTGACGAGATACCTGAGGCTGTACGCTCGAGCAACGCCACCCCTCAGAGGCCACAGTACTATAGTGCAGGGGTCGATGCAGCATCAAGCGGTCAGTGCTGGGTCTCGTTGCGAAACCCTGTCTCCTGACTAGAAGGAGTGTTGCATTCAGAGAAGAGGACGCGTCACCTTGGGAACCGCGTACACTCCCGGGTGTAGTTCTCAAGAACATGGAAACACCTTTCGCGTTTTGCAGCATTGTTCGCTATTAATCATTATTCGCTGCGCGAACCTCAGATCCACCGCCGATCAAGAGTGGACCTGGAGTTCCTGCAATGAAAAAATCATTCGCGTTGCGAAACCGATAAGCTCGTTATTGTCCTACAAACACATCACCGGGGCGTTATATACCTATCTTCATCCAAGGGACGATATTCCTACCCAATGGTTGGCGGGAGACAGGCAGATTACATCATAACAGCTATACTCTGCGCTTCTAGACTCCAGACGCGCGATCACCAGGAAATAAAGGTGCACGCAGAGGATGTTAGGACTACTAGATTACGCGCTCAATGGCGTGGTACTACGACGGAAACCCGTCTCCAAAACCCTGGAATAAAATATTTGGTCAGGTGTGGTACCCAGAATTGGTCATGCAACAGCAGTGCTCCTTTTGAGAAGCGAGCAGTGATCTCTATTGCGGACCAATATGATCTTTCCACAGTCAAGGTGAAACCGGTGAGAACGGTCACGGAATCGTTGCGGTTTTTCTTGTTCAGGTCGCGTTTTCCAGCGTTGGTTGATCTCAGGGTGTTCATTCCTTGACATTACCCTCGACATTACGTTACTTCGTGTAGGATGGACTACTACAGGACAATCATATATGTGGCATTCCTGTACACGGAAATCACCCGATAAGAGCGCCAGGTCCTTGCAAAGTAAGCTGCCACAGCTGCAGTTTTCTTCTTTTATAACCCATTGGCGACAATGCGATTTTTCGCTTGTCTGCCGCGTCGGACCGCGCCTTTTTTGACATTTTTGAAAAATGTGTCATAATGCGGCTATCCACCTGCACCAAAAATGTTGAATCTTGAAGCATGAACTGTTAGAACTTTGCAAGTTTCGTATGATTGCAGACCGCTTCCAAAATGAGCGTAAATCTTTAGGTTTTGCCGAGGGTGTATATTGGAGCATGCCAGAAAAACTTCAAATCTCCACTTTAAAACCCGTAAATGGGGTCGGATCCAGATCTCTCTTTGTGAAATGTTGTAGCATTACTCTAGCTGACTCCAGGCGAAAAGCCAGCCGGATGCATTCAAAAATAACAAGCTTTGCCTTGGAAAATCACTTTCAAGTACCGCTCGTGTAAAACATCAACTAAGGAAGATATGCACTGACCATTAATACCGTAAGTATGACAACGCCTTCCTGATTAGTATGCTATAGGAACACTTCTGGAAATCCTGCGGAGAAGAGTTATCTCAATGCTGCGTCCCCACATCGAGCCGCATTGTCCGTCGTGGCAAAAAAAGTGCGTCCCCAACATCGACCCGCAATGTCGCCAATGGGTTAAGGGATGTTGTCTGGACCGCTCTTCATCGTAGTGCGCTCTCGCTAATACTCTCTTCTTTGCCCTTTAGCTCTCATCGCCTTGCCAAGGACATGCGGAGGCGAACCAGTGAGCCCTTAACCTATCGTTTCTAATATAAATTCTTTTCGTTTTTTTCTATACTGCTCGACGAATTTCGCACCAAGCATTTCGCATTTCGCCTGCTGGAGACCACACCATTTTCAGTTTCTAAGGTCAGCTTTTAAAGAAAATAGCACCATTCTCAGTTGCCTACCCGACTACTTTATGCGCACTCTTTTGCAGTGAAGAACCTTAACGGCATATGGGCCATTGCTACGGGGCCGTATGCTGAATGTTGGGTAGGGGACGGGGATGGGTGAACGTTGGGGAGGTTCGTCGCAGGACCCTTCTGGGCAGCTGTCGCACCTTTGATTTTGCAGCTTTGTTTTCACCCTTTTACTGTTTCTGATTGTATATTCGCACGTAAATATCTTTCTTCATACCAAAAGCAGCGATGAAAGAATACAAACAGAGCTGCAATATTGAAGGTGCGACAGCTGCCCAGAAGGGTCCTGCGACGAACCTCCCCAACGTTCACCCATCCCCGTCCCCTACCCAACATTCAGCATACGGCCCCCAGTAAGGGAGCGCGTCGCGGCAGTCGCCATGGACGCTAGCCCAACTTGTAGCATAGAGTCCACACCACATTGGCGATGACTTCTGTAGTAAACACCCTAACTCATAGCGCAATTCCGGCTTTCGTTTGTAGGTTGCTTTTCGTGTCGCAGTTTTCGTGCTCCCTGAGTGCTTTTTGTCGATAGGCTCTTCCACTTTGGATATCATAGAGGTTCGAAGAAGAACTCAATAAGTTTATTGCTGTGATTGTTTTTTCACTTTTGCATATTGTTCCTCAAATTCGCCGTGTAATCATTTTGGCCGCGTGGGCCAGCGAGTCGCAATTGTACGTCACAATGTCATTATTTGATCTTTTTGAACATTAACGTTCGTTCTTGCCCTCTTCCTCCAGGCTTAAATATTTTTTTTCAGAGAAGCACCTACGTCGGAACCATGGTAATATGGGAGCTGAGACAACATCGGCACTCGTAAATGAGAAAAGAAAGCGCAGGATTAATCAACGCCAGAAGTCCTTTCTTTGACTTTATAGTATTCAAAGAGCTTTGAGAAGCACATTTTCAGGGAGGTCCCTTTTTTTGAAATATCATAATTTCGGCCGTGGCCATTTGTATTAGTGTACAGTCACGATTTCGTCTGTTTGAGCCTTTTGTGTTTACCCTTTGATTTTAACCTCCCTCCATCATCAGCAGCTTTAATATGTTTTCATTCATGGACGATTTCGTCCTGTTCGTTCTATGGGATTGCTAATGTCGTCTTTCCAATTGAATAGTGTGACTATCTGCCTACAGTGTAGTCGGTACGTTGGTATTATATGATAGTTTAATGGTTTTGGCGCAATTGAAATTCTCTAGAATTCCTCTTGGATTTGCGCTTCGATGTAATTTAGTTCACTTCACGTTGCAGCCTTATCCGTCTCCTGGCTTCCACGGGCGTTTCTACTTTCTATTTTCTACGGCGTTATAGTGGATGGTGAGTATAAAACCTGAGTAAATTTGTTTATCATTTGAGTTCTTCTCATTCTTGCAGTCATACCTGCTTGAGAGAGAATGTTTCAATACTGGAACCATCCTGTACACGAACGTAATCGCGTTTTATTCAACATCAAGAAGGAAGTACTCTCACATTTGAATAAGTGTATCCCAGAGGCAAAGTGACGATTATGTGGACAACTACCGTGATATGAGGTAGCACACGTTGTATTATTTGATGCGTCATTTTGCTGTCTGAGTGTGTGAAGTGCTCTCGTTTATTATCTTGTTTCAGGTAGCAGATCGTCAAGGATGGATACAGGCAATTGGCATATCAAAGTCTGAGCAAAATGATCAAGTGACCGTTATGAAATCTTTCCTAACTATTACTTCTCTTCATCATGTTGTGTTTTTCAATGTGCAAAATCGTTTTATTGTACGAGACTGACCTGTATTTTATCAAATTAATAAAATGCAGCTTCCATTCACTTATGCTTTGTGACGAATGAGTCTATGAGAAGCAATGAACTTTTTTGACAGAGATTGTAGCACAGATCGAAGCATTAGAAAGTTCAAACAATTATGACATTTCGGTGAGCAATTTCTTCTTTTCATTTCAGTGAGGTCCGAGCTTCTCTTTTCTATAGCATGCTTAAGGACAAGAAGTAATTTTTCACGTCTGGCGCTGTCGACTTCCACCTCGTATGAGCTGAATTCTTCTCGAAGCGAGTGCAAATCTAAATGAAATGCCATAAAGCCACATGAATGAAAAAGACAGACTTTTGAAAAACGTACTTTTTGTCAAGGCTTGCTTACACTGGAACCTTTCAGAAAGTGCATTTTAATTTTCTTGGTTTTCTTGCGACTGAACCTGGAAACAACCATTGATAATAAGGTATAAATAATTATAATGAAATCACAAGAAGGGTTTAAACTCACATCTGAGTCTTCACTGGGTGCAACTTCAAACACCCCACCACAACAAACACATTCTCTCGATTGAATGCATTCTAGATGTGCCCATGTCTGACACTCATCGCATTGTACCCAATCGATGGGAGCGTCCGGAGCATCGCTGGAATCGGGAGGTTCTCTCCTATCACAGACAGAGCAGAGGTCCTGTTCGTCGTCCCCCTCGATATCTTCGGCTATCAGAGGAGGGATGCCACATTTTTTCTTGTCCACTCGTAGCTCGGTCCTCTGAAATATCCATTTATTTTAGTCGTGCATAAAAAGAGGATAGGTTAATGGTCACCTTTAACATCATCTCGATTTGACATCGGAATCCGCCTCTACGCATTTGTTTCACGGAAGATGGGGGCCGCCCTTCAACGGCGAGATCTCTTCGGAGTGGCAGAGGATCGTTTCGCAATCCCTGATCTAAATCTAGGAAATTGATAGATTTTCAACGTATTAGTAAAAAACATACTTCTCACCGTAGTTTAACTTTTCTATCACCAATTGCATTCCACGTTCCACTTGCGCCAGTTCTACTTCGGCTTCACTGCTTCCTCTTATAGTTAGTTTTCCAACGTAGGCTGATAAGTAGTCAAACATCTGAACATCACCTCGTCGTGACAGGAAATTTGATTTGTACTTGTGAAGATACCCTCTCTATCCGGATCCTGATGTTCATACAGTTTTCTTTGTTAGTGTTCACTTCGTTGGTATCTGGTTCCAACCGATTGTTGTTGAGGTCAGAGTCATCAGATTTATCCAGGGCAGATGCGTCCTCGATATAGTGCTCTTCATCAGTACGGCACGAAGAAACCACAACAGTGTCGCGTTCTGCAAGCTTGGAATGAGCTATGAAATGAACAATAATATATGGAACTCACCGTCATGCATCATTTGGAAGACATGAATATGTTTGCAGGAAGTATCCTGCCTTGATGTTGTCCGTGCAAGAACAACTCACGCCAAAAGGGCATACATTGCATAGCAAGCAATGCTGTCCAGTTCCACTTTTACATGGACAAGAATTGGTCTTGATGAAGTATGTTCTTCCACTGTTTGACTTGACCGCCCAAGTGGATGCTGCTGTCCGTACTATCGAGTAGTCCATTCTATTTTCAACTGCCCTCTTATGCCTCGCCAAGTTTTCTTTTTGACGAAACCTTCCTTCCATAAGGTTTCTTGCGTCCTGAAAAACGTCTAATAGATGAGTGACTTTGTGTTGAGATCTGTTTATACTTACCGTAATTTCGTGGCTTCTAATCGTGTCCGAAGCTATTTCAATCAAAGCCTGCACCAAGGCGTCGAGACGAGAGTTTGATGCTCTGTTCAGATAGGAATATTTCAGCGAACGATGAAAGCGTTCATTGAACATGTTGGTATTCATAATACACGAGGACCTCGCGTACGGTGCCCATGTTTCCTTTTTTGAAATGTAGTTGGTCAAAAAGTATTGCTCGAAATCACAAGCGGCTTGCGCGTCCTTCTCGTCGTTACTCGTTTGAAGCTCGCGAAGCCTTCTAAAAAGGTACGAGAGGCACCTATGCCATTCGGGTTTGTTGGAGACAGTGAAAAGTGAGAGCAGTGTGGCGTGGATTTCATTGTTCCTCCTGCTCTTCTCAGGAAACATGGTTGAAAACTTGTCGAACACTGCACATTGAACATGCCATGAGCATAGAAGACGTTTTGTATGCCCAGCCGCTTCAGGAAACGTATCAATGAATGCATTCCAAAACGTATTACAATTGTCGGTCATAAAACATTCCGGTCTGAAATCCGGATGCAGCTCTTTGACAGTCTTGAAGAACTTGGTAACGGCTTCTCTGTCCATGTTTGCGCTGATCATATAGCCAGCAGGTACTCCTCTACCAACGCTGTCGACCACCATGAAGGTCAGTAACTTCAGATTGTAGCGACAAGAATTATGTGTGTCATCGAGACTCACTCCACTTCCACCGTATTTTTTCAGCATTCTCAGTTGAAGCGGTGTAATAATCACCAAGCAGAAACCTGTGCCTTCTGGACTGTTAGGTGGTATGAAGAACCTCAATCCGTCCTCTGGATCATTCTTGGTGAACCGCATTGCAATAGACTCCAGATCGTTGACATGATACTTTCCTCGTTCAATTCCCATTGTTGCCAGGGTATTTCTGACATCGGTCGCGGTTATCCAGTATAGACGATCATGAGGCGACAAATGTTCCATACGTATCGCTTTCGTGACACTTAGAACAGAAAACTTTCTTTTCAACAATTGAGATATTTCTCTTCTTATCATTATTGGATAACGGCCACAATGCAGCACTCAGGAGGTGACCCATGTGCATGTCGCAGAACTCTACATTCATCGAACCGTCAGACTCATTCTCAACAGCCTAAAATATTGTCGAATAGCTAAGCTAGTTCTGTATTTAAAATCCATCCCCAAAAAATCTCACTTTTAAAAATGACGTACACGCATACGGTACTGCTTTGCTGTGATTTCGCCTTTTTGTGCCACCCACGGCCTTCTTCTTACGCGATCTAAAGCTCATGTATTGTAGTACATGCCACGCAAAAGTTAATGTCCTCTTAAATCATTTGGAGACATTGCGGCGTCGACGTGTGGATGTTCTCATTCTGCTACTTAGGGACAATACGGTCCGATGATGGGAACCAGCACAAAAATAATTTTTTACACAGTTCTCAAATTCATTTTGATGGCAATTAATCAGGAAGGCATTATACGTTAGCAACTTCTATAACACGGCCCTTGCCACATCTTTCACAGTATTTTATTGAAAGGAATTTGGACTCTTGAACAAAGCTTGTTATTTGAATGTACACAGCTGCTTTTTGCTTACGCTAGTCTCACTGAGATAGGGCACAGACAAGCAGGAAAGTAGGTGCCAATAGCGCCAACGACAAAAACGAATGTCATATTCGTAATCAGGGCCCCAAATAACCCCCATACGCAAGTTTACAGCGAATTTGGTGAAAACACCCTTGGCGCCAACTGGCGCCAATTTGGCGCCAGCGCCAAAAATGGATATCATATTCGTGATCGAGGACCCTCCCCCCTAGCGCAAGTTTCAGCGAAATTTTTTTTGATCCCATCTCACCCCCTACTGGTGCTGTGATAGTGCAATAGTGGCATTCTTTGTAATAGTAGTGACGTACCGACTGCACTTGTAGTACCGAATAATAACACCGTTTATTGAAACTCTACTGTAGCATGACCATGACGTTAATGAGGAGCGTTCTTGCTCTTCTTTCCAGACCTAAACTGGTTGGGCAGAGCAAACTTTCGGAATGGCTTTTTTCCCGTAAAAATATGCTAAAGCATCACTCACCGTAAAGTCTTCCCGATTTCCAAACTGCTTAGATTTAACGTCGCCCTGGAATCCGTGTTTCTCAGTAGCGTGCTTGACCAGGTTTTTCAAACTGTCCAGATTGGAAGAAGCATTTGGGACACTCCACTACACGCTTGCGACTGTGCGAAACCAAAGTAGGCGGCGCGCTTCCGCCCTCGTTGGTGATTTGGCTCGAAAGCGAGGGGTTCTCGATGCTTCCTTAAAAATAACCTTGAAGAATTATAGAATCATTTAGAATCAATCAATCAATTATAGAATCAAAAATAAGGGACCTCACCTAAAAATGTGCTTCCTCAAAGCCTCTTTCGATGAAGCCTTAAATTCACATGAAGGACATTCATGTTGATTTGAACTCCTGGCACTTTCTCTTCTCTCATTTACGAGTGCCGATGCTGTTTCAGCTCCCACATTACCATGGTTCCGACGTAAGGTGCTTCAAATAATTGTTAAAAGACGACCTTGCATTCTCACAGAACGAACAGGACGAAACGTCCATATCTGAAAACAATAGTTAGGCCTGGATGGAGGATAGGCAGGGGCAAAAACGAAGGTCAACACAAGAAGATCGAACAACGAAATCGTGATGTACATTGCTACTCGCTGGCCCACGCGGCCAAAATGATTACACGGCGAATTTGAGGAACAATATGCAAAAGTGAAAAAACAATCACAGCAATAAACTTATTGAGTTCTTCTTCGAACCTCTATGATATCAAAGTGGAAGAGCCTATCGACAAAAAGCAATCAGTGAGCACGAAAACTGCGACACGAAAAGCAACCTACAAACGAAAGCCGGAATTGCGCATGATGTTAGGTGGTTACTACAGAAGTCCATTGCCCAAGCGTTGTGGAGCTCTCATGCGTACAAGTTGGGCTGACGCGCTCCATGGCGAATGCCGCGACGCGGCCGCTTACTGTCCGGCAATGTCCATTTTGCCGTTTAAGTTCTTCTACAGTGCACGCGACCGATGCGTTCGGATTCTCGTAATTATTTTTTCCTTAAATTAATGTTGTGCTCGGGTTTATTCTGGAATACATGTTAACTGCCGTCGAAATGTTATGACTTTGTTGTTCATTTAGT